GCTGTGGATCCTGTTGGAAGTAAAACAAATTCAAGGGAATTTGTCCGGCCCCTCCAGTGAAGAAGATTTCAGAATATGTTGGAATTTTAAAAAAGTAATGCATGCATGATCTAACTCATCACACGTTGGAATTACTGGGCTGTTAACAAAAACCAGGCCTTTGCCATAACTAAATTAAAACCATCTTCTCTCCATAAATCATCTTTCATTATCACAGTAATGCCAGAATTCCAGGAAAAGCAGAAAATTTGCTTTTGTGGAAAACACAAAACAGAAAACTATTACCACAACAACCAAAACCAAGTGAAATATTCTGTAAATTACTGGGGGTTTTTTGCCTGCCACCCTAAAGAACTCTAATACCTTCTCTGAAGCCAAACTACCCTTTTCTACAACTGTAGCAACCTTCAACAACAGTACTTAAAAGAGTTTCTACCAGTTGAACAAATCAGACTTGATATGAGCACCTCTCACTGCTCTGGGTTAGGGAGGATGATGCATTCAGCTGAACTACTAATAAAAACATATTGACCTTTTTAAATTCATACCACTGAAAGTTCATTTTAAACAAATAGACAACTCTGTGAAATAATTCCATATGTTATTGTAAGAACCAACAGAAAGCCAAATTCTCTCTCATTTTAGAAGGGGAAGCAGAGATGAGTAGTGCTCTCTTTAAAGCATTACTTAAATTGTGCATAAAATTACTTTAACTTCCCATTTTCTAGACCATCATTTGAAGACTGAGAAAGGGACATGAGTAAGAAACACCTTAGTGACCCATTTGGAAGACAGAAAGGATCCATGGGAGCTCCATGCCCAGCACCTTGAGTTTTGGTGGAATTTGGTTAGTTTTGTGCTGCTTTTAAAATCCCACAATAAAACCTCAGCGGGACCCCAGCAGAATTAAGAAATCCTAAAGATACTAAGCACGGAAGAAACATGATACTCCGAGGTGACCCAGTGCACTGCCGACAAGGCCAGTAAAATGTGATTTGGACTGAAGAAGTGCAGAAGTCTGAGTCTACAGCGAGCCTGAAATAAAACATTCTGCTTAGGAAGCAGTGCACGAGCCTTTGCGCTGCTAACCCAGGCACGCAGGGAGCAATCAGCTCCACAGCCCTGGGCGGGCGGAAAGCAGCAGCAAGCGTCTTCGTCCTTCCCCACTTCAGACTTCCAGGGACAGAACAGGCTGGAAAAATGAAGCAAAACCAAGAAGCCCCAGGAGGCAAGGACACTGCTGTTCAGGGATCATTCTACAAGCCTGTGACCTGCCCCCCTTTGATACACCACGATCCTCCTGAAGCAACAAATATTGACAAACGTTTTAGGAGACATGTGGTGGGGAAAGGGTTGTTTTCACTGGGAAGAAGCCAAGCTGATACTTCCCATATGGTGATATCATTACTAGCACTTCCATGTGGTGAAGACATTTCCTGCATAACCTTCTCAAAATGAACAGAGGGGAGATAACTGCGGGGGAAGGGAGGTCCAGGTCCTTGGATACATTCTCCCCCCAAAAAAACACCTATCCAGCATTCCCCCTTCTCTGCAAAAAGCTGGTTGTATGTACAGCAGGACTTCAGGAAACACACATTAATCTACCTTCCATACCAGCCTCTACCTATAAAGCACATTTGCCACATGCAACTTCCTCCACGCTTTGTACTTGTAAGGAAGTTAAAAAACCAAAGGGCTGAAGAGAATGACTGAGAGCTTGTGAGTTATTGCTGACACCGCCCTCCTGCACTGTGATACAATAGGAAATTTTATGGATCCTCCTGTTTCACATTTATGTTTTCTCTTCAGCATCTTTCCCCTGTATTCTTCACTCTTATTTCAAACCCAAAAGGAGAACCTAACATTTTCACATGAGCTGCAAAGATCTCAGCTGCTCTATAAGGACAGCTTGCAGCAGCACAGCACACACATCCTCCTAAAGAAGATGGGGATGCAAGAAATATATTCTTATGAGGTTTCATCTTCTGTGACTCTCTAGATCAAAAGGTTTAAATAGAAGCTTACTTTAATATCTGGAAATTGGCCAAGGTACGTATCCATGGTCAGAAGTGCCTGATCCACCAGCTTCTGATGGAAATCCGTCCAGAGGAGATCATTGTTCTGAAAAACAAAATTAATGAGCCAACTATTAAGAACATAGAGCTCTGTATTTCCTTTTGTTCCTCCACAAGTGCTACAAGTCAATAGTTTCAGTCCCCCAAAGCTCTTAAGAAATAGTCATTTCTTTGGAAAAACTAAGGAGCAGAGAAGTTAGTTGAAAACAGAGGTCATGCCAGAAATGTAGAAACACAGAAGAAAGCTTGATGCTGCCAGTTCAGGTGACCTCTCCAAGGACACAGTGCCCTTCACGAACCTCCCTTTGAAGACCCATCTTTTCCTCCACAGTGCTAGCCCAAGTCCATACAACGGAAGGGAAGATGAAGGTCAGGCTGACTTTACCTTCTTCTCCCAGCAGCCACAAGAATGAAACACCTGACACCGCTAGGCAGCATTTTCTGCTTTTCATTACAACACAGTTTTCTGGAGGATAATGAACAATAACAGAAAGCTATTTTAGCAGTCTTCAGCCTTCACACCACCTGCCTCCACAGCCCAATGGAGGTCACATCCAAGGCTTGCACCCTAACCCGTGCACACTTTATCCTTGATCTTATCTCAGGCACAGTAACTTCCCATCAACACTTTAGATTAGGTGGAAATTGACACTTTCTCCTGTTTTTCCACTTGAACGAAAGGGTTTGGCTAAAACGTTCAGGAAAAATGCCCCCTTTATGTGGGAATTTTTTTTTTTTTTTTTTTTTTTTTTGGCAGGAATAGCACTTATCTCCTGCCTGTCTTTTCCTGAAAGAGAGAAATATAAACAAAGGCATTAAAGGAGGAGGTGGAGGGCTGGAAATATTCCTACAGCCCCTCAGAATAGCTACAGTTAGTTCTCAGGACTCCTGCTCCCTTTGACCTCTCTGGCTCAAATCCTCTGAAGGGACAGTCTCCCAGGAGGCACCGCAGTGGCTCAGGAAGAAACAAGGCCAACAGAGAACATGAAGCCAAAGCAGCTGAATTACAACTCCATTATTTACTGCAACAGCACTTCCTAATGGAAAGTTTCCATGTTAATGCAAAAATTGACCTGGAAATGTTCAGGTTTTGTTTGATTTATCTGCTTTGAAGTCAGTATTTCCTGGGCAAGATGCAGATGTTATTTCAGGTGAGATTTTCTGCAGGGGAATGCAGAAGGAGGGAAGAATCTCTCTCCTGCTCTCCCATCTATTCCTTCCTCACTGCTCCAATGCCACAGACAGCTGCAGATAAGCCCAGTCCTGCAGCCTCGTGGCAGATGGATCCACAGAGCTGAGCTGTCACAGCTGCTGCCCAGCACAACAGCTGAGCAGGAGAGCAGAGGGCACCTGCCTCCAGCTGGACCCACCGCACACACATGCCAAGGGGGATCCAAGCTATCAAGTGACAGGTTGTGCCCTAAGATCCACAGAAAACACCTGGGAAAGTTGGACAATCACCTCACCAAGGGATGAGAACAGCAGCAGGTTGGGGTGAAACATGGCTCAGCCAAACAAGGTGGCAAGCAAAATATGGCAGCTGGTGGTACCGCTGTGAGTGGGAAGTTGTTACAGCTATACAATGGCTGCTCTGACCATGCTTTGGCCATAGATTTAGTCTCCCTTTTCTCTTGCACAGAGCATAAGCAATGCATCCAGTTGACCCTACTAACTCTCTTTTGGCATCCTCTGTCCCTGTTTAGCCACTGTTGGGGGAAAAAACTGCTTGTGGGCACAAGCATACAACTTTGTGCAGCATTCAAGCATCCAGGGACAGCGTCCTACACAGACAAAAGTACAGGGCACATCCCTTCAGCTTTCCCTTCTTCCCAATGATGAATTTGTCTCTCCCAGTTCTTCTGCGCAGTCATACGTCTGAAGAAACGTGGCATGCAGACAGAGCTTCCAAAGCTCATCTCTGCTGACAGATCAAGCCTGGTGACCCCACATCCTGGACAGAGTCTTACCTCTGCTATTTTATTTGTGTCATCTCTCCCAGGCCAATCCGGCTCATAAACTTCCTGCAGACATTCTGTCAGTTTCTTGGAGGCCTCATGCATGGCTAGGAAGGAAGAGGGAACTGCTTCAGAAAGAAGGAAATAATGTGTTTCTCACAGCTTAACCCTCAACCTGAGGAATGGGGACACAGGAGAGTTATAACAAATGCTAAGCTCTTCCTTACAGAATGTTTGACCCTTGATAACACAGAGGTGGAAGGTAACCAGAGAGAGAAAGGAACCAAGGATGCAGTTGCATCAAACCCTTTGTGTTCATCATGAAAGTCTATCTGCTAAGACAGCACCACCTGTTCAGCATCAAAGCACAACCCCATTCCATCCCAGCTGGTCCTGAAGGATTCTGGAAGATCCCCCACCCAGACAAAGCTGAGCTTTCCTACAACTCACACCTGAGGAAACACCAGGAAGGGGATGGCTGCAGAAACCTCACTGCGTATGTAAGCACTAGAGGGGAAACAATCCTCTGCTTATGAAGACCTTACCTTTTACGGAAGCCAGGTAAGTTCGGAGGTCCTTCTGCAGCCTCGTGCCTTCGGACTGTGAACGTGAGGGGAAGACCATCAGTTATTTTCTCATATAAAGAGAGTGCAAGAAGGAGCAGTAAAGCATTTCTAAATTAAAAAAAAAACCCAACGTGGTCTTGCAGATAGGCTACGCACCAGCCCTATGACCACATGCAACATAAATGTTAACAGGGAGACCACACAGCCCTCTGACTTGGTAAGCCCACAGCCTGCAGGCACGTTTGGCCAACAATACCACCAAGGTACCGAGTAACTTGATGTGTGTAAAGCTGTGGTTTGCTTTTCCCAGCAGAGCCAGCTTTACTGTTTTGATTTTGAACAAGCAACTAGAGAGGGTACTAAGGGCAGCCATTAGTTTATAAGCCAAGGGCTAGTGGGTCTATGCAATAACTGTAACTGAAGGGAGGCTGTACGATATAGAAGACAGATCCAATTGATTTATTTTGTACTGGTTTGGGAGCAGTTTTGCTTACCACTTTTTCCTGCCACACTGCAAACCAAAACCTCAGTGCAAAGTGGGTACAAGGGACCCCTGACCTGCCCAGACATCCTCTCTAAACTGTCCTGTGCAGCAGGGCTTGCAAATACAGAGTTAACCATCTTTTTCTTTAGCTTCACTAAGGTGGAGGTGGCCTGCCAGCAGATCTCACTCACTAGGAAACAAAGAATTAAAACCAGAAGCTGGGCTGAGTTTTGCCAGTTTGAGCCTTCAGATGACACATCTGCAGTGCAGTACAAGAGCACAGGTTAGAAAGGGTCATGGAGATTTTCACAGTGAAGTTGGTTGAGATGTGCACACGTATATGCCCTCCCCATACGACTGCTCTCCTGCACTAGGATAAGCATACTGAGGCCCACCGTCCCTCTACCTTGCCACGTGTCATGGACAGCGGTGCAAAGCAGACAGGGAAATACTCCCAAATCCAGACAGTGACATTATACAAACAGAAACAAAAGGAAGTGCAAGGCTTGAGAAGCTGACCAACATTACCACAGTGCATGTCAAAGCAAGGGAAGGAGCTAACATTGAGGATGCCTGCACAGACAACCTCTGGAGCATGCAAGAAGTACAGAAAAAGTTTAAGAGGCAAAGATCTCTGTTATAAAAGGGTTTCCCTTACCCTGAGGGATCTCATTGGATCCTCACTATCTCCCAAAGTAGCTGCAAAAACAAGAATGCAGGAAAGAGACAACTATACCTCACACCTTCCTCACAGCTTGCTGCCATTCCTCCTCCTCTTTCTCAGTTTGTGTCCCATTGCGGGGGGGTCCAGCATAATGAATTTTGACAGCTGAAGACAACTCCAGAGACAAGGAGCTCATGGGACATCTCTGACAGCTGCTTCAGAGCTACTGGCTTCAAAAGCAGATGTTTCCCATCAGCCCTCCTCACGACTCAGGCATCTCTTGCCTCAACTGAGCTCATGCTGTGATCCCTTGTGCTCCCAGTGCAGCTGTGCTCTCTAAACAGAGGTTAAATCTGCCCAACTGTTGAAGTGGCAGTGCTAGCATAGCTTTGTGGAGAAATCCATCTGCTTCCAACATTATGGCCCAATTTGTTTTCCTTGCCTTGAAAGTTCTGGATGAGTTCACAATTGTTCTTTTCCTACTGCCATCAACAAAGGAAACAAGGGATGGGAAAGAGCTGGCCGCTTTTATAAAAGAAAGTCAGACTCCTGGAGAAGTATTGGGTACTGACCCAAAGAGAGTACAAGAGGAAAGGAATAATGACATCTGCTGCAAAAGTCCTAGGACTTCTTAAAACACAAGGCAAACAAATGTAGAGCTTTTTACTGGCTTAAGGGGAATGTGGAAACCTGGGCGGATGAGACCTTCCTAGCAGTGCAATCAGAAACCACCAGGGAGGAGGTGCCAGAGTAATCAAAGAGCACACACACACAGAGCGGACCATCAGGGAGGCTGAGCTCACAAGCAGCAGTTCAGTCACGCTGTTACGTGTGTTTGCTTGTGCCTGATGCAGGAAGCAAGAATGGCTTAGAGCCTAGCATTGGTCCAGGTTAGAAATCCCATTCTGGAACGCAAGATCAAATGTCAGAACACAAGAGGAAATGGCACAGAAGAAAGTATGCAAAATCCCTCAGATAGATACATTGTCATCCTGCAACTGTATCATTTTGAAAGATTACTAAATTCGAACACACAATTTCCAGGTTATCTGAAACTAATCAGCAGGGAAGGTCCTCTGCAGAACTTGCCCACTAGACACTTTGGCCACTGCAATGTCTAGAATGTAACTCTCAAAATTACAGCATTTAAAAACCAGAAACCACCTCTCAAACTGTGCCCATACTTGACCAAGTCCTGCTAAAGCAGCATATGACAGAACCTACATTCATGAACTCTTCAAGTCTCGATACCCAGTCCCAAATTCATGAGGACAAAAGGATCCTGAGAGGTACATCGGCATCAAAATTAACATCAAATCAAGATTTTTAGATAGACCACCTGAAAAACCTGCAAGTCATGTCCCGAATACTGGAGCATGCAATTACAGCAATGCACGACTCGCCTTTGCTGTTCTCTAGACACTTGTCTTGCCACGATGTGCAGTCAGCCAATATGCAGTGCTACATCCTGCAGCTGGAGTGGTCTAAGTTACCCCTTGCTGATGTTTAAAGTCAGAGTTACAGCTGATCTCCATGACGATGGCGTTACCTAAGCCTCTTAAAAGTATCAAGCCTGCCAGGGAGAGTGAATAGACTTTACAGCCTGTAAGATCTGCAGGCAGAAAGAGAGGCCCATGTGCAGAGTTTTGCCATGAAATCCATTTCCCCAGCTTCCCTGGGCACCTGGAGTTCCCATCCAAGTCCCTCTTCAGTATTTCCATTGCTTTATTTCTTGCTCACCAGTAAAGCAGATTCCTCACTTACTACAAGGGTTTCTTTTTATTAAGCGTTAACACTTTCCTGAGAAACTTTGGCAACTGCTTCTTCTCTGTGCACGCAGCACCTGCTTTCTTCAAGCAGGCTACAGTGAGCTGTCAAGTACAACCACGATTCTGCACAAACACCTCTCGCAACGCAGTTAGACACTGTCAAATACTGTATAGAACAGAAGCTTTCAACACCCTTGAGTGCATATTTAAGATGCTTCCTAAAAAGGTTAAAAAAAAAAAAAAGTAGGGAAGAGTTAAACCGGAATCTGGAAAATTAATCCACTTCCCAGTTATCAAAGAGCAGTAGGTTTAAGGGTGTGCAGAGGGAATTTCTAGAGGTATGGTTGTAATTCAACCCTGTGAGCCTATAACACAACCAGGTATAATATGAAGGACAGTATGTACTGGAAGATGCATATTTAAAAATAGAGGTGCTGTCCTTGGGAGGCCAGAGGAGCTCTCTCTCCAAAGACCTAATGAACCACCTATTACTTACAGCTCTGTTAAATTAAAACCCAACAGTGGTTTGGTTTCTTTTTGTGCTTTCTTGTTTTG